TTCACCTTAAATGTTTGTACAATGAGAAGAAATATCAGCTCATTAAACTGTTTACTAATCCCAGATGGATATAAACTATAACCGTGAGACATGGGACTATATACTCATGCAAAATTAAATCATTCTTGCATACATGATGCTTAAGCTTAGTGAAGAAGATAGGCATCAAACAAGGAAATAACCTAAGCCTATGAATATATAGAGAAAAACATATTTATATAGCATATATAATTTTGTGTATATGCATATATATGTAACATTATGAATGGGATAAGCAAGTAATTGTACATGGAAAAATAAGAGAGACAAGAAGAAATATGACTGGACAGGATGCTTTCTAAGGGAAAGTTAACATGTCAGCCAGGCCTAAAAATGACAAAGAACCAGTCTGGAAAAATCATTCCATGGAAAACAAAAAGCACAGGATCACAGCTCCAAATTTCAAGGAAGTTGCCAGAATCTAAAAGCAGGCAATGTGTCTGCAGCATAGGTAGCAAAGCCTCTTCCTCAGCACTTTACATTTCAACACCCTCCCAGAATAAAACCCGGTTCTTTGAAACATCTATAAAAAATTAAGTTATTGGTACATTGCTATAAGGGCTTCCCTGTTGGTTCAGCGGTAAAGAATTCAACTGCAATACAGGAGAAGGAAATGGCAACCCACTCCAGTATTTTTTTTTTTCCAGTATTTTTTTGCCTGGGAAATTTCATGGATAGAGGAGCCTAGCAGGCTACAGTCCATGGGGTTGCAAAAGAGTCAGACGCAGCTTAGCGACTTAATAACACATAGGTAAAAATCAAGCCACATCATTACATCTAGGGCACATATTTGACATAACCATGGCAGTATAGAGACACAGGCTCTAACATTAAACAAGCAAAATGAATCCCAAACTTACTGCAACCCCTCATTCCTTAAATCTTTACACCATTGTTAAGAATTATCCATTCGCTCAACTATTTATTGATCCCAAATGAGTATCAGCCACAGTTTGGAGCCTAGGAAGACATATTCATTCAAAACTCCCATATTAGTCTTACTAGTCTCATGTGCTTAAGTTTAGTGGCGACGACAAACATGAAACAAACACACAGATAAGCATATAGTTATAACCTGAAAAAGGTGTCCATGTGACAGTGGGTAGTAAAATCTACTGTGAACTGAATGGTCAGAATATTTTCTCAGGAGAATCAATGTCTCAGCCAATGCCTGAAGGATAAAGAAAAGCAGCATGGCAAAGACTACCCAAGAAAACTGAAGTTATGGTAAGGCCCCGAGCTGTCCAAGAAGCTGGCAGAATCTAAGGAAGACAGAGGGACTGCTGTGCAGGTAACCTTTTCCCTGGCAGTTTCTTTCCATTGTTTTTTCCAGAACAAAATCTGTATACAACATTTTCTAATTTTGGTGTCAGGGTAATGCTGGAATGAGACAGAGATTAAGAATGAGATTGGAAGTATTTATTTTTCTTCAATTTTTTGAAATAGTTTGAGAAAGATAGATATTTAACTCTCTTTAAATATTTGGTAGAATTCATCTGTAACGCTATCTAGTCCTGGACTTTTGTCTGATGGGAATATTTTTTTATTATTCATTCAATTTCATTACTAGTGATCAGACTTTTCAGATTTTCTATTTCTTCCTGATTCAGTCTTAGAATATTGTATGTTTCTTGGAATTTTTCACTTCTTCCAGGTTGATGAATTTTTTGACACATAATTGTTGGTAGTGATCTTTTGTGGATCCTTTGTATTTGTGTGTTGTCTGATGCAATGTTCTTTCATTTCTGATTTCATTTATTTGGACCATGTATTTTTCTTAATGAGTCCTGCTAAAGGTTTATCAACTTTATCTTTTTGAAGAATTGGCTCTTATTTTTATTGATATTTTCTTTTATTATTTTAGTCTTTACTTACTTTTGCTCTGATCTTATTTCCTCCTTTCTACTAATTGCTAAGGGCCTAGGGGAAGATTTAACAGATGATGAACTTCAGGAAATGCTGATGAGGCTGATTACGATGGGGATGGAGAAATAAACAAGGAAGAATTTTTGAAACTGATGCAAAAGACCACTGTTTATTAATGCTGTCTTTTGTGCCTTCTGGAAAGTTGTTAACAAGTTTGTGTTTGTTGTAAGTTCCATAATAGCTGGATGTATCCATTTTCAGTGTTTAAGTTTATATACATAAACTGGTCTCTTGATGTCTAATCCATGTGAGAAGTTACATGTTGCTACCAATACATTGTTAAATCTATAGCATCAAGAAATAAAATGTAGAGACTTCCTTAAACTATGAATCTGAAGAACAGTATTAATTACAAGTGCTATTTTTAGAGCCCCAGGTTCTAAAACTTAGATTTTTTTTTTAACTTAGGGAAATTGGCCCCACATCATAAGCCAGTCATTACTTTCCCTATTATTTTCCTTTTGTGCAACTCTAAAAATGAACATTTGCTTTTTAACTGATTATTCAGATATGTAAAGTCTTAAATAAAACTGGCAGCATCAAAAAAAAAAACAACTGCTTTTGCTGCATCCTGTAGATTTTAGAACATTGTGTTTCCATCTCCACTTGTCTCAAGGTATTCTTTTATGTCCTGTCTAGTTTCTTTGCTGGATCATTGGTTATTTAGAAGCACGTTGCTTGTCTACCATGTGTTAATGTTTTTTTCTGGTTTCTTTCACAGCCACAATGGCATGACACTAGAAGCCACTGACAAGAAGAGGCTGTGAGGGGAAATAGGTCAGAGATAGGGTTGACCACAAAGAAGATTAGGAAAACTTATGATGAGTAATTGTGGACACGACTTAGCAAATCAACAGCAGCAGCAACAACGATTGTGGTAGTGGCTACATGACTCTACATGTGACCAAAGTCTTAAAACCATACACTAAAAAGTATGCATATTACTGTTTGTAAGTTATACGTCAATTTTAAATGGGGGCTATAACAAGAAATATTACAAGTAATACCAAGGAATGTATTGACCGTCAAAATATCCAGCTTAGTCCCACAGGAAGTCAAATTGCTTCCCCCTTTGGAAAGTGGGGTGACGAGCTGTAGACGCCCTCATGCTCTCCCAGGAGGTCATCCCTGGGGAGAGAGATGTCTCTATAATTCCCTGCTGATTCCCACGCATTAGTCTCTGAAATCCCACCCTGACTCCGGTCAACATCATTTCAGGAGAGCAGACTGCACGCTGAGCCCTGTTACCACCATTTATTAATCTGCATGTTAATAAATGCAGGCTGTTAGTCTGGCAGGTCCTCAGCTGACCTAAGGATTGGCCGTGAGCCTTCAGTCATCAGGGAAAATGCCCCAAGGTAAGCATTATACTAAGCAACCTTAAAATAATAACCTCTTAGTGTTTTATAGACCTTCCTTTATTTGCCATTTACAGAGGCAATTTTGTGAATTATGTGGGAAAAGTAATTATATTTATTTCACAAATAGGGACATAAGTGGCTCCTCCAAGGGCACAGAAAGAATGCATAGTAGATTCAGAAGCTGACTGCATACTAGTGTTCTTTCCCTCATCTTCCCTGCCTTAGAGACCTGGGAGCATTTCTACCGCTGCCTGGGAGATGACTTCTCTGACAGCATTTATGCATTATGTCATGGCTAAATTTCTGACTTCAAACTTACTATTCAGGATTAACCATCCTATTTTGTCAAGGAGTAAGGTAAGTATCTATATTCAATATATACATTTAAATTTAAAAAGTTTAAAACAAAAAGCTTGCCACAGAAATAGATCTACAAGCTAAAGGTAACCCACAAACCCTGAACTTTCAACCCTCTACATCTGTGATTCAACTATTGGATAAATAGTAATAAGAAAAGAGAAGAAAAGGAGACTATTTCAACCTAAGCTGATATATAAGTTTAAGAAAATGAAGCAAAAGAATGGCTCACTGACCAGAGCGGGCAATTATACAGGCAGAGCATGAACAGAGGGTGATATATTGGGAAGCACCAAAAATTAAATAGACCTAAGTGGTGTGTGAGCAAAAGCAAAATGAAGAGGAGATTACAAGGTCTCAAAACTCATCCTCACCTGGAGCTCTGCACACCATCATCCACCTTGCTCAAACCAGCATAGAAAACCATCTTTCCTTTTTAGTAGTAATGTTTTATCTATCTTCTTCAGACTGTGCTGCACACTCAGCTTTTTGCTCATTGTTTTTCATGCATTATCTAACTTAATTCTCAAAATAACACCTTTACTTAGGTCTCCTTACTATCTTAATTTTCCAGTTGGAGAACAACTGGAATGTCAGCTGATGACCAAAGACTCAGGCTGTTAACTCAGGGCTCTTCTCAGAGTCCAGACTCTACACCCAGTGCTATGTCTTCCCTTGAGAACTGCCTCTGCTGACTGTACATGCCCCTACTCCTCCAGTTTCCCCACTGCATACACTGTGTATCTAAGTCTCAGATACTTCACTGTGCAACCTCCAACACTGAGTTTGGACCAAGGAAGACAATAAATAATTTAAACAGAGCTAAATGCAGCTTAATTTAAATTTAGTAAAGACACATCACACTTGAGAAATGCTTTGTCTGAGAAGAGAATCTGACTTGCCACTATATGTGGAAATACAAATTACTCATCCTCTTGTGTCTAGAGCGGGTCTTGGCATATAAACAGCAAAGAAGTGTATGAATCTAATAGGCTAGGAAAAAGCTGAACTGCCAGAGTTATTAATTCCAAAATGATCATGTTTTGACATATTTAAAATAATTAAAAACTGGAGAGATGATTCATTACAATCCCTCATTCAATACTTTAGAATTCTAGATGAATAATACACTAAATTTCACTCTTAAGTCCATGCTTTAGGTGTGGAGAATCTTGAAGCACATATCATTTCTGTAATGAAAAATGTTCATGCGATATAAACATTTCAGTTTCACCGTTACTGCAATCTTAACTAAATTTGACACTCTATTCCTTTGTTTTTCTTTGCTCTAGGACATCTGATTCTTAAGTAACCCGGATGGAGAACACGACAGAAGTGACACAGTTCATTCTCCTAGGACTAACCAACACCAAAAAACTACAAGTTCCCCTCTTTCTAATATTCATTCTCATTTACGTGATCAATGTGGTTGGAAACATGGGCATCATCCTCTTGGTTCTCTTGGAGTCTCATCTCCAGGCGCCCATGTACTTTTTCCTCAGTAACCTGTCTCTGGTGGACTTTGGTTACTCCACAGCTGTCATTCCCACAGTCCTGGCTGGATTCCTTACAGGCGGCGGGGTCATCTCCTATAATGCGTGTGCTGCTCAGATGTTCTTCTTTGCAGCCTTTGCCACTATGGAAAATTTCCTCTTGGCAGCAATGGCCTATGACCGCTACGCAGCGGTGTGCAGGCCCCTCCATTACACCTCAACTATGACGACAAGCATGTGTGTTAGTCTGTCCACAGGCTCCTATGTCTGCGGTTTCCTGAATGCCTCCATCCACGTTGGAATCGCCTTCAGTCTCTCTTTCTGTGGGTCCAATGTGGTCCACCACTTTTTCTGTGATGTTCCAGCAGTCATGGTTCTCTCTTGCTCAGATAGGTATGTTGGTGAGATGGTTCTCGTTTATGTAGCCAGTTTCAACGTCTTCTTTGCTCTCCTGGTTATCTTAATATCCTACATATTCATATGTATCACCATTCTGAAGATGCACTCCTCTGCAGGGTACCAGAAGGCTTTATCCACCTGTGCCTGCCATCTCACAGCAGTCTCCATCTTCTATGGTACGATTATCACGATGTACTTACAGCCCAGCTCCAGTCATTCCATGGACACTGACAAAATTGTGTCTGTGTTCTATACCATGGTCATCCCCATGCTGAACCCTTTGGTCTATAGTCTAAGGAACAAGGAGGTCAAGAGTGCTTTCAAAAAGATGATTGCAAAGGCAAGATCGTCATTTTAACATTTTAGAGTACGTAATGATCCAGTTTTACTCTTCTCAGATTTTTCCCATGCACTGAGTCACATGCAGAAATTAAATCCTGAATAATACCCTTATTTTTTTCTAAAGTATATTGTCTAGAATAAGGAAGTGTTGTGTCTGGAAATCTAACAACTAAATGAGGATGGCCAAAGAAAGCATAAAATATTTTTGTTCTGCTTGTCAAAAAAGCTAGTTAAGGACATTTACATGTTCAACATGCATTTTACCTGCCACATGCACTACAGCATACAGGTGAAGCAGAAAGCAAGCAAGCCCATGAAGAGAAGTGCATGCCTGTGCCCTATAGACACGCATACACGTAGGAGGAGAAACTTAGCAAGAGATAGATGGAGAGTGTTTGTTTTTATTAAAAATAATGTGAATAGTGACTTAGTGGATTAAAATATAAATTAATATCTAATATTACTTTCTTTAGTTGAATAACTGTTCTAAAAGTCCTAGTCTGAGATAAAAAGCAATAAACTTTTGATGAAACTATGTGCTTATTTTGTTGGCATAGTTTACTGACAGATGTATAAATATACCATCTTAAGTGAGCTAATAATTGTCTTGATCGAGTCATTTTATTAAGCTGCATTTTCACATCATTGTCTTCAAAAGGATATAATAGCCACAGTACAAGAAAAATGGAGGAAAAATAATATAATACTTTTTCAATTTTTTCATCCATGACTACCAACATTCACATTTTTTTTTAATGCACTGAGATAGCAATAACATTGTGTATTTTTCTGTTTGCAGTTGCTTTAAAATAAGTTAATGATGCTTATTAATTCCCTTTAAATGGTTTATAGCATTATATAAGTTTCACATCATTGTTGTTCTGTTTAGTCGCTAGGTCATGTCCAACTCTTGCAACCCCATGGACGATATGGCCCCCCAGGCTCCTCTGTTCATGGGACTTCCAAAGCAAGAATACTAGAGTTGATTGTCATTTCCTTCTCCAGGAGCTCTTCCTGACCCAGGGATTACACCCATATCTCCTGCATTGGCAGATGGATTCTTTACCACTTGAACCACCAGGGAAATCCCAAGTTTCGTGTGTACAATGTTATATTTCCACTTCTGTATACATTGCAATGCATTCATCACTAAAAGTTTAGTTTCTACTCATCACCATACAGTTTACTTCCTTTAATCATTCCGCCCTGCCCCAGCCCTCTTCACCTCTAATAACCACTATTCTGTTGTCTCTGTTTGTGTATTTGTTTTTATTTGGCTTGGTTCGTTCAGCCATAAAGAGAATTAAAATTTGCCATTTACTATAACATGGATGGACCTAGAGGGTACTATGCTAAGTAAAATAAGTCAGAGAAAGAAAGACAAATACTGCATATTTTCAATTACAAGTGGAATAAAATAATAAAACAGATAAATGAATGTAACAAAATTGAAACAGACTCACAGATGCAGAGAGCAAACTATTGGTTACTAGTGTGGAGGGGCCAAAGAAAAGGGACAAGATAGAGGAAGGAGATTAAGAATATAAACTAGGATATAATATAGAGCACATGGAACAGAGCCAATATTTTATAACTTTAAATTGAATATAATCTGGAAACCTATTGAATCACTGTTGTATACCCAGAACTAATATAATATTGCAAATCAACTGTACTTCGAGGCAAAATAATACAATGAATAAAATACAGAGTATTAATAGCCAAGCCATGCCTTGGACCCAAGACAACCCTTAAATCTACATTGAGTGGTTCCTAAGACTATGATCTGCATTGTTGTTCAGCCGCTCAGTCATGTCCAACTGCAACACATCAGGCTTCCCTGTCCTTCACCGTCTCCTGGAGCTTGCTCAAACTCATGTCTATTGAGTCAGTGATGCCATCCAATCATCTCATCCTCTGCTGTCCCCTCCCCACCCGTAATCTTTCCCAGCATCAATGTCTTTTCCAATGAGTCAGTTCTTCATATCAGGTGGCCAATGTATTGGAGCTTCAGCATCAGTCCTTCCAATAAATATTCAGGGTTGATTGGCTTTAAGTATATTTAGATCAAATTTAATTTAACAAAATTTTCAACTTCACCTTGTCAATGGTTCACGTTGAAGTAAAAGATATGTGCATAGAGCATGTGTAGAAGAAATGGATCAACGGGGGCATGTCCATCAACAGAGGCGACTCTGAGAGGAAGGCGAAGCATTGTGCATGGAAGACAGGCTCTGGGGTGAGGTACACACCAGTCTTCCATTATCTCCCTTAAGGCATCGTGAAAGTGAAAGTGAAGTCGATCAGTCATGCCCAGCTCTTTGTGACCCCACGGACTGTAGCCCACCAGGCTCCTCCGTCCATCTCCAGGCAAGAATAGTGGACTGGGTTGCCATGCCCTTCTCCAGAGAATATTCCCGATCCAGGGCTCGAACCCATGTCTCTTATATGTCCTGCATTGGCAGTCAGGTTCTTTAGAACTCGAGCCACCTGGAAAGCTCTCATTTTACTAGGCCTATGTCCACACCCACTAGAGAAGGAAATGGCAACCCACTCCAGTATTCCTGCCTGCAGAATCCCATGGACGGAGGAGAACTGACGGGTTATAGTCCATGGGGTCGCAAAGAGTCAGACACGATCGAGCGAATAAACAGCAAACAGCATGTCCAACCCACAGCATGTAGAACACAAAGATAGAACCACGCTATAGAGTTTGGATGATTATTTTATCTTTTTAAAAAGTATAATGGCAACATGTTGATTTAACAAAAATGACTCAGTCAAGACAGAAATACTGATTTATTTAAGATATGATATTTATGTATCTCTCAACAAAATGTGCCAAAAGAGTAGATACTTTCATTTTAAAAACTATAATTCTTCCTTCTATTCAGAATATTAAAACAGTTATTTCACAAAAGAAATAATTGCTATTAGACACAATTTTATACTGAATATCTCAACTAACAATTTAAGTTATTTTTATTAAAAACTAGCCATGCTCCATTTACCTCTGACAAATTTCCCATTCCATTGTGTATGTGCCCGTAATAATGACAAATCAAATACATCAGTACATAATTAGTTCTTTACCACATAATGAATCAAATATCAGAAGTAAGTTTTGACAAACAGGTCCCAAATTTTCTAATGCTTTTCCTTAGCTATCTTCATTCAGGTATTGAATTACTGAATATGCTTTATTTTTACCAGAAATCAGACTTTTGAAAAGATAAGGGTGTCATCTCAGGAATTTAAACGCAGTGTGGAGCTTTAAAAACTAACTCATTGCTTGGGAAAATCTGAGAGGAATTAATAAAGGTTACTGTTCTTAACTGGGCTTCCCAGGTGGTGCTAGTGATAAAGAATCCACCTGCCAATGCAAGAAACAGAGATGTGGGTTCAATCCCTGGTTCGGGAAGATCCCCTGTCTTAGGAAATGCAACCCACTCCAGTCTTCTTGCCTGGAAAATTCCATGGGCAGAGGAGCCTGGTGGGCTGCAGTCCATGGGACCACAAAGAGTTGGACATGACTGAGCAGCTGAGCACACACGCTGCACATACTGCAGTGTTAGAATTCTGTAGGAAATGTTGCCTTCTCCATGACTCTCGTGAATGCACCTCCGTGTTCCTCAGACCATAGACCACAGAGTTCAGCACGGGGATGAGCACAAGAGCAGAACACAGGTGCCACTTTGTGTCTGTGGAGCGCCTGGAGCTGGGCTGTAAGTACATGAAGATGATGGTCCCACAGAGAATGGAGACAGTGGTGGGGTGGGAAGCGCAGGTGGACAAAGCCTTACAGTGCCCCTAAGCTGAGTGCATCTTCAAGATGTTTATAAATATTAACAGATAGGAAATCAATATAATCAGAAGAGCAAAAGAGACATTAAAACTCATGGTGAAAACAAGAACCACTTCACTAATGTGTTTATCAGAGCTAGAGAGCCAGGACAGCTGGAGCATCACAAAGTCACGGACTATGTTGGACTTGCATACAGAAGGACAGAATATGGAAAGAGGCATTCAGAAAACTACAAACACAGGATCCCATGGTCAGACATGCAGTCACACGTGTCGTCATGGTGGTGGTGTTACGCAAGGGCTTCCATGCTGCTGTGTAGCGGTCATGAGCCACTGAGGCCAAAAGGCAAGGTCCCACACTTGCAAAGGCTACAAAAAAGAACATATGAGCGGCACTGCATTGTAGGAGATGCCCTTGTCTCCAGTGAGTAATCCAGCTGTTACTATGGGAGTGACAGCTGAGGAGTAACCAGAGTTCGCCAGAGACAGGTCACTGAAGAAGAAGTGCATAGACGCGTGCAGACGAGAGCCCAAGAGAAGCAATGTGACCACTCCCAGGTTTCCAGTCACACTGGTGAGGTAAATGATAGCGAACGTGATTAAGGAGGAGGATCTACAGTTCTGGGGAGCTGATCGGTCAAAAGAGGATGAACTGTGGCACTTCTATCTTGGTCTCCATCAATGCTATTTGGGAATTATGACAGATACTGCAGTAGTGAGAAATGAAGGGGAAAAGTGACAAACAGAAAAGAAATTGCAGTGAAATTTAAATGCATTATCATGAACAATTTCTACTTCAAAAGTATCCTGATCTAATATTAAGAACTTTACATGTAAATGTGTGTATGAGTGTGTGTGCGTATGTGTACAATATGTAGTACTATTATTTTCATTTTGCCATTAAAGGAGTAAAAGATTTGAGAGATTATATGATATTCTACAATTCTATTGCTAGTCTAAAAAATTCAAGACTGAAGACTAATTTTCATCTAATCAAAATCCAGGGGCTTTTAGTCACCTCACTGTCAACACATATAAAGGTACTAATAAATATAAGGATGGTAAAAGGTTAAATTGCTGTTAGATCTTGCTAATTTATTTATTTCCTTTTGTTCTCTGTGTAATTTAAAGAATAGTCACTTCACACTTCTCCTTTTTTTACCTTTAATGAGAGACCAACTGTTAATAAACAAGAAAAAAAATTGCTACCTG